AATTCAAAAATGTACAAGCACGTTACAGTTAGGAAGTTATATCTGGGGAATAACCTTCGACATGAATCTCTTGGAGCTGTGAATGTGATGATTCTAAGGCAATGTTTTAGAGCATGGATACCGCGGATACATCGGTAGCGTTTCCCCAGAATATGATGGCGTATCTTATCCATGCAGCGGCGTGGCTGTGGTACGCAGTAGGTGCGCACTGCTCATTCTTACACCACGCGATATTCCTCAACAAGATATTTACTACCTCATTCCGAGTATGCCCAGCCAATGCAGATGTGTCACGAATGTCATAGGTGCTTTTACTGATTATTAACTCTTAATTAATCTCGTTCTTAAAAGGATTTTACTTTATTTTATTAATAATCTAAAAATTAATCTTTCATGATGTACAGTTTTAACGCTTGTGTTTTTTCTCTACGTAAAAATCTGAAATCTTATTTCAAGTCATTGTTAATATAAAAAAATGGTAGATTATTAAATAAAGTTTTCTTGGATATATACGTGTTTTAAGAGAATATTGTCATATTCTTTGAAGACATGCAGGAAGTCGATGGACCCAGGTGGCTCAGGACCGTGCTTTGTGGCATTACTTGGGGGAGGCCTATGTTCAGCAGTGGACTTGTGAAGGGCTGTAATGATGATAATGATGATGATTAAAAGGGAAGATCTTCGTGTTTTAAATTCAATTTAATTTTTTTATCAAATTTTTATTAAGTTATCTAAGAGCTCCTTGTGTTTTTGTATATAAGCTACCTCGTAACGACTAAAACTAAAAAACTGCGGTCTAGAAAACCATTACGTTGACTAGCAGATAATTCTTTAGCATTAGGTCGGCCTTTTGATTCTATAATGTTGTAAGTTTAAATAAACTTTGAATAAAAAAATCAAAATGCAGATTGTCACCCCTAGGGACTAAGATGTAATGCCTCACTTTGAACAAAAAGTTCTCCAAACTTATCATACGAGGTACAGGTTTACTATCAGGTGGACTAACAGCACGCTTATCATTTCAGTTTTATAAAATAACACTACGCTTTTTCAGCCGCTTTTTACGCTTGTGTAGTTGATGCGCAAGAGAAATCCACACTTCCCGTGTGTGTCGTAGGAGGCGACAGGCGTGCACTGAAAGAGGAGATGGGCAGCAGCATCCGCGCGATTAAAGTAAAAAAGCAGCAGTAGACTTTTACGAACTGTCATGAATGAATTAGCGACAGCTACGATACGAATTTGCGTCGAGGCAGCGACGAACCGGTATCGAAGCGCACTGGACTAGCGCAAATGGCGTACTTGGTATTGGGAGCCTTCTTTGCATAGGAGTCTATCTTTTTCTGTCACCAAGTGCTTGCATTGCTGTGGGTATAGTGAGTCGGTATAATTACACACTGTGAGGCATTCCATCTCCTTCTAGCCTTATTTGTCTGAAGTTAGCTGCAGGTGCCCTGGGATTGCAATAGCAACTTGCCATCAAGTGGACTGAAGGTTTCTTGTTATTACCTGAATTTTATTAAAAAAAAAAACTTTAATTCATTCAATAAAAATGTTGTACGAAATGGCTTTTTGCCTTTATAACTTCGAGGTTACCCAAAGATAAAAAATACCTTTTTTGCAATAGCAATCGCAACCTGTTCACATATCATAGTGTATTAATCCAAAAACTTCGATGTGCACCATAATTAAAGCAGAGTAATGTGCATTTAAACAAAATAATCATATAAGTAATTACAATTTTAAATAATTTTAATGTAGAAGGAAAAAATAAAACGCAAAACGTCAATGATGAATTTTATTCTAATTAACATTACATGGAAACATGAATTATTATAACACGAATCTAAAGAAGAAAACACTATTATATTCTTAAATTACGAAATACTTATACAAATTAACAAAATGTCTTTCATGTTGTCATCCTTCAAATTATAATCGTTACATTTATGAAATATTTTATACTTAAAAAAATCTGCTATTTAACATGTTGTGGTGGATTGTCATAAAAAAGTATTATACAAAACAAGGCAAAGTAAAAATCACTTAAGTCCAAAATTTGTGCCTATAATGTGTTATTATTTTGCGTGAATACCGAAAACGTATTAGAAAAATATGTTTAAAAAAAGTTATTTTGATAATAAACAACAAAATATGTACAAAGAAAGATTTTTAATTTTTGATAGTTTTCCTTAGTCACGCATATTATGTTTGTCTAAACTCCAAGTGCCAAAGTGTAATCCTACTTATATTTAAACCGTGTAACAATTACAAATAACGGTAATGGAAAAAGGTACTTTTAAAATTTATCTTTAGTTTCATTTTTTATTATTTTGAGAAGGCACATGAAAATTTCTTATAAATAAATGAATAAATCAAGTACACGATAGGATCGTTATTTTAGCGTAATCAAAATGGTAAAAAATACGATAGTTTAGAGACAGATATATTTTCGTAACTGTTATGAACCAACCAATTACGGTAATTACTCTAATTAGGTTAGTTGAAAAGGCTTGCTACTACAATATAAATATATAATATACATACATAACATAGTATATTAACATGTTCTTACACACTATATAAAAATACAACAATTTTCAAAGGAAAACACATTTGACTACATGACCCTTGACCTCGAGTCCGATAGCTCCGCTATAGAGGAGCTCCGCGATTCTAGGTGATATGCCACAGATAAAACCTTAATTTGTACGTTCTACTTTTATTTCATATACAAAATGTCATCGAAAAAAGTTCCTTTTTTGTATTTTTGGATTTAAAAATTTGACAGCGGTGTGACCCAAAGATACTTTTTTGCAATAGCAATCGCAATCTGTTCACAGCTTACTTATCCAGGTTCGTTACATAACTTGATCCCAAAACATATAATTATTATGTGATATTTAATAGCGAAAGACACACAAGCCTTTATACAGAGATAAAACAGCATTTGATTTAGAGCAAGCTTTTGATAAGAATAGTGTACATTGTTCTAAAATTTAGAAGAAAGTGTTTGAACGCAATAAAAGAGAATAAAAATTGTGAAACATGTTTTAGTTTTGCAATACAAATAAAATTCCTAGTAATTACTCCCCTAGTTCTTTGCTTTCTTTGCATACTATAGTTTGCTATTGCAAAAGTAATAGTAAATAAAAGAGTAAATAGAAGACTTCCATTTTATTACTAATAATATTATACGTAAGAAAAATATATACTTTTATAAAACTTATTTATAAAAGCTCATGAAGATATTTTAGTGTTACAAGAATTGTCTTTTATTATAATACTCGGTACTACATACGCTAGATAATGAACATTGATTTGTTTTGAAAACATATATTACGTGTAACGTCAAATGAGTTACACGAAAATAAAAATAAAAACAATCCAAAATGAAACAACGTATAAAGTTTGGACTTACTTAGAACCTAAAAACACGCAAATCTTAGGAAATATGAAATAACAAACAAAATCCTTATTCATGTCTTTAAATGTGCTGCTTTGTTTGATTCAAACCAGTCGCTCAACTTGTCTTTGGAGAAAACGATTCCATCATAGCTTCAGTTATAATCATAAAAACTGAATATATTTAAATACCAAACCTGATTGAGTTGTCCTTTTTGTAAAGTTATTGCGAAAATTATGTATTATATAAATGTGAAATATATAAGAAATAGATAAATGCATATCATAATGGCCAGAACGATCTTGTGAACGAAGGATGAAAATCAAATGTTCATAGACATACAAATGACGAATTTTATCGTAGCAAAATACTCTATTTATATTATGATAGGTACAAAAATTACGAGAATCTATAAAATCTCGTCATTTAAATTCTACACAGAATTTGTGGAAGCCAAAATGCAACGACGTAGCAACAAACATTACCTACGAAAAGTGACTATTTGAAATTTTATCATTACTTTCGCTTAGGCATTCATTATAATATACATTTTTTTATATTACAGAGATAGCTTTCCCTAAATATCTTTAAGAGTGGTCCAATCGATATATTATGGTATTAAAAATATATAACAATAGACAAAAATTTACAAGAATTTTTAACTTAGCAAATTTTTTTAATTAATAGTATGCCGAATTTTGATTTTTCATTTCCATTTATAATAACAGATAAGGAGAATCGGATATGGATCCAATTTCTATTTTTTTTCTTTAGGGAAAATTTGTAGTAACTACAGATCAGTTTTCTAAATACTATTCAGTAGTTAATCCAAAATTACTTAGAAGAGCTATCTCATATGAGTGACCTTTAAAATGATTTTAAATTTTTATATTCAAATTAATTTATGATTGTTGTTCAGACCCTGCCTCGTCAAAATGATACATCTATTTTAACTTATCAATAGTATTATAATAATTATTAACGGTTACATACCCTTACTAGTACACTACAACAAGCTTGGCGAAACGTTCTGGGCCAATAGGAACTGAAGATTGACAAAGTAAAAACTAAATTTTAAAAACAGTTCTCAAGGAGCGCTACGAAATCCACTAAAATTAGACAAACATTTGAAAACACAAGATTGAAGTAAGTGCGACGAGACCAACACAGAATATTAATCACTAAATCTTACATTAATTATAAAACTTACCTCAGCACTGTAAGACACATAACAGCCAATTTTTTTACCGGTGACGTCATCATTAGGTTCGATTTGAATTATTAGTAAACCTTGCGTTTCGGGTTCACAATTCCAACAAACCATTTTAATATTTCTTTACTATAATTTCAAGTGTAACAAAGTTAGACATTTTTACGATACCAATATTGGAAAGGTATCTTCATTGTAGTTACACTAAATGAACTGGCTTTTAAAGTTCATCACTAATAAATAACATCTATTACAATACGGTAAGCCCTACATATATTGTCCCAACATCCGTACAATTTCTTAGACTTCAAATATAGTTCACTTGTAAGGTTTTGTTGAAATGTGAATCGTAGCGAGACGGCTTCGCAATGATGTTGGACCATGCGACTATGAACTTTCTTGTTCCTCCCAGTCGACATTCGCCCACTGAGGAAGTTCAGTTTCATATTCCCAGCCGGGTCCCTAATTAATAAAATGGTAAAGAAAAATATGTTATAATTATGATACAATATTAATGATAAAATTGCAGTTTTAATTGCAATAAAACAAGATAGTGCCAGTGTAAGAAAATTCAATACATCATGTCATCCCGTAAGAGGCGACAGAGGGACGACAAATGGAAGCAGTGACTTCCTAATAATACCAAAATATAAAAACTGTCGTTGACAACTGCCTGCCAAAGGAATCAACGGGGAACATAGGCCATGTCCAGCAGTGCACTTTGATAGGCTGTAACGGAAACGGAAAGAGCACTAAGATGATGATAACAATGCAAAATTTGATTTAGCCGATTCACCACGATAAAAAATTGAGAGGGATCGGAACTGTTATCGGGATCTGACACATATGTGAATTTTAGATTTCAATCCATTTCTCTTGTTATATATATACAACATGTAACATAATTACCGCACTTTGAGAAAGTAGTTTGTTCAGAATCTTTTACTGAATCGATTCCTATCATTTTTAATATAGGTAATTTTTTATCCCAAAAATAATTAAAACTACGTAAATTACAGTCACACTAAAACTGTACAGTCAAAACAAACTGAAATGGACCGTAACTTAAGGCAATAAGACTTTTAAGAGTGCAGTTTTATTTGTATTATTACTAATTCTGTCATTCAATAAAAATAAAGAAAAATGAACTTTATTTCAAGCACGTTAAAGTCTTTGCGTTCGTGGATTTGTACTGTGACCACAACATTCTTCTGGAATTAGTATAACTAATTTAATAAATAATCAGTGCATAAAAATGTTTTACTAAAAATTCAGTGTATATATTATGATTATAACATAATATACTAATTGGGGTGTCTGAGGGTGTGCGTTAATTACGTTACATATTGTATATGATGGTCACGATGTTAGATAAACTGTTACAAATACTACAGTTTCGATGTTAGAATTTTTTTTAATATTGCTGCAATCAATTCACTTGCGATATAGATTGGTTTCGAAACCGTGGTTTTGCACAAAGATTTGAATTTTCAATTTCTTTCCAATTGATACAAAACAATGTGATGATGGTCGATGGGCATGTTATATTAAATCTAAAGAAATGATCTTGCAACCTGCCCAATAGATTTGGTCAATTTTTCCGAGTAATGCATGCTAACTGACGCATTCTTGGGAAAGCCCACACCTGGAAATGAATTCAAAAATGCTGTCAGCAAGCCTTTTATGGTTGTCCTTATGGCAGATAAACAATGTGTAGGATTTCGTTGAAGTTGGTTGCAGATAACGATGTGTTAGGCTAGTCACTGATCATAAAGTAACAAATAAAATATCTGAAAACAATTCAGAAAAAGTCGAGCGATACCTTGTACTTCCAAGCGTGCAGATACATGACGAGGTCCCGAGGTCGCGGATCTCGGTAGCGCACGCGGCACTCGTAACAGTGCGGGTCGGCTGCAAGAGCGTCTGAAGCGCCCCCCGCACCACCCACAGCCGCACCACTGTCCTCCCGTGCCCCCGCACCACACCCTGTCTGCGTCGCTACAGTCACTTTGTCCGACTGCAAGCGGAATTTCATGTTAATCATTAATACTTTTGTGTAGTAACACTTTTTACTTGATGCCAGCACTCCTCTCGTCGTAGTGCATGTCAGTACTACCCTCTTGCATAAGCAACAGCGCATCTAAGTTATATTGCGATCGTCTGAAAATCTTTACGTTTTCTTGTCCAAAGTGAAGTCTGTCTCCACTCAATTGTTATGCCTAATGGGGCTCATATGAGACATTTACGTTAAATGTGAAAATTATCAAAATTATATACTTGAAACTGTATAATTGTAAATATCTATATGATGGTAAAATATTTGCGTATTTAAAAACATTACCTGAATGGTATAAAACTATGCTTGTTCCTGTGTCAACCAATTTATTGACATTATTCCAAGGATAGTATTATTAAAAATTCCGTTAACCGAAAATTTTGTATTTATTTTCACAAAGCATTGCTTACAAATGTTCTAAAACTGTATATTATTTGAATTTATTCATCGTGTAATCAAAATAGTCTTATCGTGTAAGAATTCTAATACGAAATAAAAGGATTTACCTTTCCGTCATTGGAGTCTTCGTTAGGAGTCGGTGACGTAGCTGGCGAAGGTGCTAGAGTGCACGGAGTTGTGGCCGAGTTTACAATCGCTTCCATTGGGGCTTCTGCTCCACTTGATGGGCTTGGAAGTGTTGCTTTATGAAAATCGTAACATTATGAATATTTTGAAGGAGAAATTATGTACGTTAAAGTATTAAGTAGTAAAATTTATACGTACGAGTCATAACCGAAGATGGAGTAAGACCAGGTGCTGGAGATTCCAGTCTTGGAGACGATTCTCTTGATGTTGGACCTGTATCACATTCATCTTCACCAACTACAAATGATAAGTATATATTAAAAAATAACTAAGTAAAGATACCGCAATGTTGGTAAGTTTTTCCTACCTTTATCATCCGATGCAGGCTTCGAAAACAGCATATCATCATCGGCTGCGTCTACTCCGAGCCAATTTTCAGCATTGTGTATAGCAATGAGATCCCTGACTAATTGTTCGTCAGTTTTACCGCCCGTGTCACCTCCCTTTCCACGTAGAGGTCCAAATACTGGATGATTATATAGAGGATCGTTCACAACTGGATAACCTGTATTGAGTAGACCATTTTTATTTAAAAAAATCTTATCATCTTAAGAAGTCATACTTTAATGTAGACAACACAAACAAGAAATAATCATAACACATAAATTTATTTTTTTAATTAATAATTACCAAAACTACTAGACCAAAAAATGCAGTTTAAAAAAAAAAGAAAAATTGTTGACAAGAAAACAGATCGTCGTAGAGTTACAGGTTGAGTTCTTTTTTTTTAAACGAAGAGATAAACAAAACAACTCACCTAAATATTGCAGATGAACTCTAATTTGATGCATCCGTCCTGTCTTCGGCCGGCAGAGCACTACACTTGTATTATTCTTTGAATTGTAGCCAAGCCGTTTGAATACTGTGGAACAATCCTTCCCTTTTGGCGATACCTTACAAACTCCAATCTTATAGCTTACCACCTCTATTGGTTCTTGACATTCTATTTCTTCACTGTAATAAAAACGTAAAGTATAAGTATCTAATATTTAAAACAAAAAGTATACCCATTTTAAATGATCAAAGTTTAAATGGGACTTCCATAATTATAAGGAGTTTAAAATTTTATTTTCTTTGAGCCAATAAGATTTTTTATCGAATACTAGTAAAGTTATTAACATTATCAACATTTCCAATGTTCACTCCAAATAAGCTTCAAATGTTTATGAATGGTTCACGACAATAGACGAATGGTGAATTCAAACTCACAACTTTGTGAGTTTGCAGTCCGCATCAATCGTTAGGCTACTATTGCTTCAATAAGGAGATTTGTAAGTAAGATAAGGTAAATGATATCACGTTAATCCTCAGGAGTGACAACGCATCTGTATTTTTCGATTATATTCATGAAAGCAATAACTTACCATCAGGGGACTGTGTGCTAGTTTGTCACATTTAAGCATTTACAGTTTTATGTTGTGTAAGTGAATATTGATTTATACGGGGTAGTCATACAACTGTGTTATAGCTGCAAGTTCAATGGGTTGGTTCATACTGAAAGGACTTTCATAAAATACCAGCTTAAAAAAGCAGCAAAATGCTTGTGTTTCAAGTCAAAAAGTTTGACGAGAACCAGTTACCCTTTTTACTGGTTACGAAACATCTCATTTTTAACTTTTATGATTATAATTTCTAAGAGGATAGATAAAGGTGTCTGTAGGTATGGCATCGAGTTTCAATTAGATGGATTACATGTTTATTTCTCACCTGTCTAGGATAAATTATAACCCGTATGGAAAAAGTAAGTATGAGAAACGACGAACTTACTCTGGGAACTCGCCGTCGACTCTACAAACATATTCCTTCTGTACTTGTCGGTTTCTAATTTGATGTTCCATTTGTCTTGCTTTCTTTGGACTCCGCCCAAACAGCAATAGTCCTGATGTTAGCAAAAATAATGATTAGTAACATTGCTATATAAAAGACCTTTTTATAGATGTCTTCAGTTTACAACAATTTAAGTCATACTAAGAAAACTTTATAGATAATTTCAATATCAACGTCAAACGGTAATCTCGTAATAATTTATATTAAGTCTATCTAGCGAAAAGCATAATTGGCCTTACCTGATGTTAGCCTGTCCAATCGGTGAATAGTTCTTAAATTCTTCAAATTGTATTCCTTGGCAAGTATGAAAACAACGGTGTTGTGTCGGTATCTTCCACATGGGTGAACCTGGGGAGACGATACTCATTAAATGTGTGTTCTTAATAGATTATTCTTTAGAAAGTTCGCAAATCAAACTTTTCTTCGAAATAACAGCATAAATTTTTTTTTCATATTTTCAACAACTATATAAAGAAAAACTTAAAGCAATGTTTTGTTTTCATTTTATACGTTTGATTTTAATAACATTGTTTAAAAGATTTAAACGCAACGCTATTACAGCAGCTCAGCAGCTATGTAAAATTAGTACTGTGATTGTGATGAAAGCATTCATGACAAAGTGACGTGAATTAATATATAATGAATATACCAAAAACTCATCATATATGTAATAAATAAAATAAAACATATAAACAATCTAGATAAAACAAGATTTTAGTTTGTGCCATACGAGTATACAAATGCAAAAAATTGGATGCAGTAATAACAAACATAAGTAAAACGACATGCGACAGAAGAAATATAAGTAATTTTTTGCAGAATTGAGAATTTCTTGCAGAAGCAAAATGATGATTCTCCCTTCAAGTATTTATAATTAAAGTTGAAATTAGAATCAAAAAATCACACAATATAATAAAATATGTTTGCATTACAAAGGCCAAACTTTTTATGAATAAAATAATGAGAACGATTTCTTTACATTGTAAATTAGATTTGTTTGATTTTGACCTTTTCATCTATGGTACCTTTGGTTATTATTATATAAAATTAATTGAAGAGAGAATACGTTAAACATCTATAATTAGTTTTAGCTTTGTAAAATAGAGCAAAATACAAACGAGAGACACGTAAGCTCTTCAGTTTCAGTCCACTTTCAAGTGGTATTTACGAGACCGCACTTTTTCTCAGTTCCGTTTGGAGTTTTTACAGGTCCAAACATTTGTGCAGGTTACAATCTCGTGTCAGGCCCTGGTGGTAGTCTTTAATACAAGTATTGTTGAAAAATGTGACTTCTTAAAAGTTTTCAAATGTTTCGGTAGTATGTCACATTTATTAAAAAAGTCGTTTCTACAACTAAAGAACTATGTCTAACTGGAATATAATTCACAGATATTCATTTGATCGCAATAATTTTGGATGTTTTTTAATACACATAGTTGACCAGGGCCTGACAAAGAGAGGGACGGTCTTCACGCGATAACTCACCGGCAGCGAGCAAGGCTTGTCTAGCACGAGTAGCTCCTCATCCACGTGTATGATGCGCAAGGGACTAGCGAGCACTGGAGTCTCATGCCTGGCCCACCACGGACAGAATAATTCATTAAGGACATGTAATAGTCCCATGATGTTGCATTTGCGTTTGGTAATCATTACCGATTTCGATGTTAGCGAACGATATATGACTATAATTCATAATAAATCTATTATTCAAACAATTTACTTTGTTTTATATTTAAAATAAATGATGAAATAAAGATAACTAAAGAAGAGATTTTATTAAAAATATTAATTCGCTGTTAGCTGGGGCTCATATTACCATTTTTATTTTATGACGTAATTACATTCAGATTACAATAAAATCATGAAAACTCGGTTTGATAATGGTATATGGAATTACATATTTTTTAGAAAAACATTAACTAAAAAGAAGTAAGTTTAAGCTAACATATAACTCTAAACATATACAAAAATAAATTATATTTCATACGTAAAACAAAACCACTTTGCTTTATAGGCGCGAAATACTACAATATGGATAAAAACTATGTTGTTTTCAGAAGGACACAAAAAGTTTAATCAAGTTATGTTTCAAATATTTAATAATTCGTAAAAAGCTACATATAATTAATTCATAGAATCAATTTTAGAAGCTTTACTCAAATGCATTACAACACCATAGAAAATTCAATACAATGCATAGTATTTTCTGTATACGATTCAAAACTGTGTTTTTGTGGTGTTTTTGTGATCATGAAATGCATGGTTGGCGTTTTTCGGTTGATCGGTACAACAGCGTTGCGATATAAGCGACAGTAGCCTAATGACAGGGCGCGGACCGCGAACTCAAAAAGGTCGTGGGTTCGAATCCACCAATCGACTACTGGCGTGAACCACTCGTAACACAAGCAATTTAAGCTTACCACGAGTGGTTGAAAGGAATATTAGTAATGTTTATAGCATTGTTAATATTCTTTTACAAAAAATATAAATATAAAAAAAATATTTACATACCGATCCAATGTTGGACGCATATTTATATACTATTCTTTTACAGTTGCGACGCGTTAACGGTATAACGCATCCTCGACATAAGCTATATTATGCTAGCAGTGAAATGGCAGCAGAAACGAAAAAAAAAATTGCACAAGAATTTGTCGGTAATAAGTTGATAATTAGTTGCTAAAAACTGAATTTGTAGCCCAAAGCAGTTGTATTAAAAACAAGTATGTGCAATCTTGTTGTCATGCTAGCGATAAATTATATGATTTCAATAATAATTAACAAAGAAATTTTCTAACCAGCAATTGAATGAGACTCGACTTTGTCTATAGAAACTGCGTATTACTGCATAAACGTTGGAAGTTGGCTACTGGTTGCGAGATGGAGCCGATTTTTATGATTCAATATTTTTTGCTGGCTTTTTGAGCATTCCTGGAGTATTTTTGAACAGCAACTAAATCTGTGACTACATCTCGCCTATTAAAATCGTATGCTAAAATAATATACAATGGTAATTAGTTACCGGTTGCCAGGTTCAGACAATATTTGCACTTTTTTCACTGTTTTCTAGCAACAAATCTTATTATTTGACTCAATCATCATTGATTGCTTTTGCCTGAAATAAAGATAGCTTGTATTCTTTAGCACCGGCCTGAGCTACATAATAATTATAACTTTTAACAGAAAGCAAAAACCGACTTCAAATTACCAAAAAAGAAGTTATTTATTTGCAACCCTTAGGGGTGCCCCAAATTTATACGGGACCCTTGAAGTATATTTCTGCAAAGATATCATTTAAAATTCCTTAAACAATGGTCCAATATGAATATTTTTTTCCTATTTTCCACCCTTGGGGTCGGAATTTTTTCTTCAAAATTTAATGGGACTACCCTTAAGGTAAAGCCTATTTAATAAAAAAAGAATTGTTAAAATCAATTCACAATCTGCGAAGATATCGCGTAATATCATAGAAAAAAAGAACAGTGGCCAAGGTAGGAAAAGGGGAGATCACCCGCCGGGCAAGGTGTTCTGCCCGGGGAGCGGCCGACACTCCATGTGATAGTTCGGAGATGTTCTATATATACTGTTTATGATTCGGAATTTTGATAGCGTGATTTATGCTTCGGTATGTTTCGCTTGCAACGCGACGACAGCGCCGCCACAGAACATACACTCGAATTGAGAACTTCTTTCATTTTGAAGTCTGTTAAGAATCAGTTATTTAGCAACTAATCAGTAATTACTAAGCTTTAAATTCCCGTGCTTATTCATTGCTTTCTGCTGGTTATTCACTGCCATCTTGTGAGGCTGGAGACGTATTGCCTCGCGTGATCAAATTTGTCGTATGAACGAACGAAAAACTTTTTTCGTTTGGGTGCCTTCAAAATATCGTTCTCTTTTTCAAGTAAAATTTTAAAACAAAACTTGAATATTTTACACATAAAAAAGCGTCATCGGCCGCGCCAATAAATTAAAAGATCGACACTACGTCGATATCGATAAAACCTCGACAGAAGTTGCATTGCTGTGGTATCGACCAATGAGGAAAGGGTCTTGAGATGATATTCAGACGGCGTTTAGCCCATACAAACGTATTGCTCGTAAATGTATAATTCCATGTTCATTGTTTTTTTTTATATATTCATTATTTTAAAAACTAAAGCCTTCTAAATTTACTAAAACAATTATACCCCCATTATTAGACATTCAACAAAAAAATAGAATAAAAATAATCCTTATTGGGAAGCATACATTTCTGTTCATATAAATTCTATTTTTGTAAGTTCCGTATTGCGGTTGTCTCTCTCGGTGGTAGTTCGGGCATACCGGCGACGGCATTAGATCGTTAAATACCTATTCCTCAAATTCCTTGAAGCCCAGATAGCCTCGTAAGATCGGTTAGTAAGTAATAACTTTCTGAGAGAGTATGTATTTAAATATTGGTGTGTTTCCTGCTTTTGAACATAATTTGGCAGTTCATTGCTATTAGTAATTGTTATTAATATACTTCTTAAAGTTTATCAGTAAATATCTATTATATATTTAATAAGTTATTACGATTTAGGTGCCAATAAACTATGACATTTTTCTACTGAGTAATAAATTGTAGACATGCGCGAAATTAATAATTCCCTTCTAAATCGAAATGGGGTCGATTTTTTTGCGGCAAATTGCCATAATATATCACTTTGAACCTGCCCATGACTACTTCGGGACCTCCCATTGTGGTTCTGCATCAATCAAAGTAATTGGACACGGTCAGTGAATTGGTTCTCAAAAAAATAAAAAATCACCACTTTGTACACGCAGAAGTGATAAATAACAAAGATTATTCGATTGAAGCTTAAAAGTTACTTTTGAGCCCGCAGAATTGCGATCATGAACAAAAGTGTAGCAACTCTTACATTGAATTTGTGGCATTGATAAATTCTAAGTGTCGAAATAAACTCAGAAGGTTGGTACTTCCGAGCTGCTATCGAAAAAAATGTGGTTATTTCATAAAACATAAGAAAATATTTAAAATTTTGATATTTCAGAAACTTGTGAAAGAATATTTTATTCAAATAAGAACCTACATGTAAATGCAAAACGTTAAAGAGGTTGTTTTGGTTTATGGGAAGATTGTCGAAATGTAGGCTAATGTTAAAATATGTTTATTTGCAATTAAAACGATTAAATAAAGCCTTTAGTATAGCACGAAGTGGGCAGGTCTTTTTTGCCGATAGGATCGACGGGTAGGTACCGCAAGAACTTATTTTTGCGGCCAAACTATAGTGGCAGCACTGCTGTGCTCAGGTCTGGGTGTTATAGAGAGCTAATATAATTACAAGCTGTGAGGCGTTCCAGTT